GAGTATAAAAGGTGGAGGCATTCAGTCTCAGGAGTCTGTAGCCACACTGCGGAGAGCATAGCAGTCTGAGTGAATCTGAGGAGCAGTGAAATTGGGAGCAGTTTGAGGATCGCCCCTTTGGTCTAAGCTGAGGTAGAGGTGAGAGCTGTGGCTGGCTGCTTTGCTTTTCTGATCTTCAGCTTGAAGCTTGAACCCTAGCATCTGTCTCTGGGTCTTTTATTTTTCTTGCTACAGGCCATCTGTTTTATTAGGTTCCCCATCCTGTGAGCACGCACTGGGTCTTACAGACCACAATATGTTGTCTTCATCTTTCCACTTGGCCTCCTTTCTCCACACCCATCTTCAATAGCTCTTTCCTTAAAGTCATAAAGGAAACCTCCAGGTCTGCCTTTTGGCTCTGATCTCTTGTCAGCCGTGGGCTTCCTTGTTAAAACTTGAACTGCCCAGTCAAGGATTGTCCTAGCTCCTTCTCGGTCAGGGTCTCTGCCTTCATTAGAAACTTTTGCTCCACATCCCACATCTCAGCATCTCTCTTGCCCTCAGATCTGTGCATTGTTTTACTGACTTCTCTTCACCCATGTTTGTCCCAAAGACTTAATAAACTCCAAGCATATTCTTGGAATCAGATTCAAAATGTCTCTGGAGAAATAAAACAGGCTTTGAATGGCTGAAGAAGAAAACTAACTTTATTCTCACTCTTAATTTTTATCAAGACAGCATGGAGGGCATGTGTGCACATGTATGTGCATGGTGTGTATGCATGTGAGAGAGAGTTGTGTGTGTGTGTAAGTGTGTGAGTGTGTGCATGTATGTGAGTGTGTGCATGTGTGTGAGTGTGTCCCAGCACACCCATCTCCTTCTCCTCTAAATCCTCCCATGTCCCTCTCTTCTCTCCCTTTCAAATTCATGGTCTCTTTTTCTTTCATTGTGTGTGTGTGTGTGTGTGTGTGTGTGTGTGTGTGTGTGTGTGTGTGTGTGTGTGACCACACTAACGTCATAACAGACGGCTTATAGATGTGCAGACCCTGACACTCCTAGAGGGAGGGATACCAGCATGTCTGGTGGTACTCGCCAACCTCCCAAATGGAATCCCCGCCAGTTGTTTCTTCGTGTTGTCTGTTGGGCTTTTGATTGGATGGTATTCCACAAGGAGGTAAGTAGAGCAGGCACAGATGGGAAGGAAGCCAAAGAAACCTGCAGCTTTAGTGCTGTGGTTTGAAAGTGAAATGCACTCGCCAGGCTTGAAGTTGTGAACACTTAGTCCCTGGCTAGTGGTGCTGTTTCTGAAGGTTGTCATATCCGTAGGAGATGGAGCCTTGCTGGAGGACATGGGTTACTGAGGGAGAGCCTTGCACTGTTACAGCCTGCCCCACTTCCTGTCCACTCTCTGATTCCTGACTTTGTATTCAAAGATGCCCCTGTTTTCAGACCTTCCCATGATGATCGTATCCCTTCGTAAAGCACGAGGCAAAATAAACCTCTGCTTTCTCATGTGTATCTGGTCAAAGTAACAAGGAAAGTTCTACAGTTAGGTACCTCTTGGTGTCAGACGTATTCCGTCTACACAGCAGCTGCCAAGAGGGTGTGTTTGGCCATGGTAGCCTATGAAAGAAGAGGCTGCTTACCTTGTGGAATGAGACCACCTGGCTTGCATCCCATTTACCATTTGTCAGTGAAGTGGCTGTGGTGGTTTGAAAGAAAATGGCCAGCAAATGGAGTGGCACCATTAGGAGGTGTGGCTTTGCTGGAGTCGGTATGGCCTTGTTGGAGGAAGTGTGCCACTACAGGGCCAGGCTTTGAAGTCTCATATATGCTCAAGCCACTTCCAGTGACCCAATTCATTTCCTGTCGCCTTTCCATCAGGATATAGAATTCTCCAGCACCATGTCTGCCTGCACACCATCATAGTCCCAGCCAACATGCCCCCCCACCATGATGATAATGGGATAAACCTCTGAAACTGTAAGCTGTCACCTCAATTCAATGTTTTCCTTTATAAGAGTTGCCATGGTCACAGTGTCTCTCCACAGCAGTGGAAACCCTGACTAAGACAGTGACCATGAGAGAGTTAACCCACTGGATGTTTCAGTTGTATTGTTGGTGAATGGTGTGGTAACATGACCTCTGTGCAGTTAAGGGCATGTGTGAGCATTAGTACAGTACCTGTAACAGTACTGGGCAAGTGCAAGCACACTGAAGAGACTGGTGAGTACAAAATGTTGGCATTTGACAGAGGAGGAGGCTGGGGTCCCAGGAAGCTTATTAACACCTGTGGCCCCCCAGACAATCAGAGGACATGCTAGATACCACCCTTACAATCTGGGTTCAGGGCCAGCAGTTTCCCAGTCTGCTAACTACCCAACTCATAGCTAATACCTATGAGCCATGAGTCACTTTTACCATGTCCTCAGAAACATCTTGACCAATGTCCCATTGATTACTAGAGACAACTGGGAAAGCTCGAGGTTTCACTCCCCAAGTCTCCCTCTCAATCTACTTATGTTGTCCCACTACTGCCACTTGTAGCTGATACCTCACCCCAAATGAGACCCTTTACCAAGGCCCTGGTTCTACCCCTGAGTAATCTGAGTTGACTGCAGTAACTTAGCTTTGATATTTTTTAAAGTACTAACCATGTTAGGAATTAACACACAAACTTCGAGACTAAATATTTTTATTAAGAGGAAAAATATGACAGACCCTTGCTCTCAGGGGCATATAATAGGCAGCAAGATAGTCACGTACACAAACACTACAAACGTGACCAATACAGGAAGGGGATCAGAAAGAGGCTGAGCGCTGTGGACCACTGACTCTAGGATATCGCTGAGGTATCACACAGCTTCCCATGTCTGAGGACTGGGAACAGGATCCTCTTCAAACCCTTCACTGACCACTGAGAAGCTTGGGAGTTCTAGGACCACTCCATGGCTGCTGAACAGCTTCAAGGACACTGGGGTCACAAAACAATACCATTTGCCAGATGGCAGGAGCTGCCCGGGGGAAGGAGAAAGGCTGTCATCGATGCCAAGCTAGATGGAAAACGTTTTCTGAGTTAAAGGGAGGCATGCCTTGTTCTGTGTGGAAGCAGCAGATGGACTCAATTTTTCAGAGCTCCTTCATCATTTGTGGGTCAAAGACCCTTCAGAGCATAGAAAGAAATCAGTGAGGACCAGTAAGTACTGCAGAAACAAAGGACAGGGTCTCAGACAGCACATTGCTTAGCTTCTGTGGCTTCACAGATGCTTAATAAGCCAACGGTGGGTTCCCAGTGGGCTCGTAAATCCTAGGATAAAAACCGTTACTTAAGATGGCTGCCAACAGGACTATTTTAGGGCAGTGAAAAGACTCCATAGGGCACCGTAATGGTGCATACATGCCACCACACATTTGCCCACACCCAAAGAATGGATGTCAGGAACGAGCCTAAGCAACAACTTGAGGGTTTTGTTGGGGATGGTGCACCATCAGGTTCATCTGTTTTTGCAAATGTGCCACTCTGGTGCGAGATGTTGACTGTAGAGGAGGCTGTGTAAGACGGGGGATGGGGGGGCATGGGGGGACGGCGGTGTGGGCATCTCTGTGCTTTCTGCTCAATTTTGTTGTTTGCCTTAAAATTGCTCTAAAAATGTAAATGCCTGAAAATACACTGATGTAGGGGATGCTGTAGCCACGAGGGCGTGGTCAGGGTGACGTAGAGTGAGGGACACTCACGTGGGCGGCCCTGCTTTCTGCTTTCATCTTCGGCTTGCTGTATGGACTGCTGCCCCGAGTTGATGCTGTTTTCAGGGTGTCGTGAGTCAGGGCTGGCCCGGAGAAGCAGGCATGGCTACAACTTCCCCTACACAATGGTACTTCTGCGTGCAGGGGTGAGGCTAATATCCCTATCTTGAGACAGGGTCTCTTGGTACACATTAACTGCTCACAGCCTAGAGTCTCAGTCAAGTAATTAACTGGAATTAACTGGATGTAGAGGCGCATGCCTGTATTCCCAGCACTTGGGGGTGGGGCTAGGGCAGGAGGCTTGCATTAATTTAATGATTTCCATGATGATCCAATCTAGAGAGTGAGGCCTTATCTCAAAAGACCAACTATTAATTATTGTTTTTTTATTTTATGGTAGGTGCATTGATGTTTTGAGTGCATGTATATATGTTTGTGTGAGGGTGTCCGATCTTGGAGTTACAGGCCGTTGTGAGCTGCCATGTGGGTGCTGGGAACTGAACCCAGGTTCTCTGGAAGGACAGCATGTGCTCTTAACCACCGAGCCATATCTCCAACTCCAGTGAATTATTTTTTAACGGTGAATTTGGATACAGAGTTAGCTAAGTAGACAGGGAGGGCAGCATGGAAAAATAAATGCAGAAAGCAGGGTGATGGCTCTGTGAGCTAGGGCACGCTGAAGTTTATCAGCGAACCTTCAGGGTTTAAAGAGAAGCCTGGAACACATTCTCTCCCACACCCCTTGGAAGAAGCCATCTCTACCAACCACCTGACCTGAGATTTTAGCCTCCGGAGCCTCGAGTCTCCACATCAATCCACCTGGTTTGTGACATTTTAACCTTTACAGCCTTAGGAAACGAACTCACCATCCTTGGAGTTACCCTTGTCCGGGCACCCAAAGAAGTAGTCATTCAGCTCGTCCCAGCTGAGGCCACCAATGTCACAGGCTACACACACACCATTGCTACTGGGTCCGGATTGAATTTCTAACACAAAGAACCCATGAGCGTACTGTATACAGTGGTGTCCTCTTAGGGCATTAAGTGTAGGACCGTTTATCATATAGCAATGATGGACTTCACCACTTAACTCTCTGCTGACTTACAGATAACCTACATCACATCCTCCTCCTTTCTTCCCTGATGAGGAACTTGAGCTGGATGTCCTTGAAAATCACATCACACAACCTGAGAATTTCAGAAAGCAGCTTGGTACTCATGCTTAAGTAAAAACAAATTACCCACAGTCCCAGCTCCATACAAATCAAACAGCTTTCCTTTTCCCTTTCAATCGTGTGCATACATAATTTGCACAGAGTTTATTTAAGATTCATTCAACATAGTTAGAATCAGAACACACATAATTTTGGAGTCTGCTTTTTCAACTTGCAATTTATCATAGCATTTTCCATGTTGCCCCACAATCTTTACACTATTTTAATTGGCTATAAAGAATTTCACAAGTAATTATACTATAATTTACTCAATCATTGTCCTTTTGACCAACATAAAAACTTTGATGTGAATCTTCTTTAATTGCAACATTTTAATTATTGTTCTAAATAAGGGTTTGGCAAACTATGGCCTGAGAGCCAAATCCACCCACCCATTCTTCTACTGCCAGTGAGCTAATGATAGTCTTCAAAGTTTTAAGTGGCGAAGAGAAAATTTTAAAGTATATTATTTTGTGATATTGGAAAATTGTATGACATTCAAAATCCAGTGTGTTTAAATAAAGTTGTATTAGAACATGGCCATGTTTATCACACATTATCTATGACTGCTTCCATACTACAGGACATAAGTGGTGTTAGTGTCAGAGATTAGCTTCTGGCAGGCCAAACAAGTTAGTCTTGGTCATCCATTCCCAATAGGCCACCTTAAATAATAGTGAAAAGCAGACAAAGTAATTGTATTCAATGTGGCCAGACTTTGATGAGGAACAAAGAGGTCCAGTGACCTCCTCGTCATCCCCAAGACCATCTTCCAGGTGCTGATACGATGTTTAAATTACAATAGAGAGTAAGAGGTGTGCACAACTCAGGTCAAGGTATGGCCCTGCCCATCCTCATTGTCTCAGTGCCAGGCTCTCCTGCAATGTGGTCTGATAAGTGTGAGAACTGTGTGACATCTCTTCCCGGAAAGGACCTCCTCCCCATATGGTCCCCAGAGCTTTAGCTTTTCCCTCTTCCCAGCCCCAGCATGATACTCCTGGGGAAATTCTAATTTGAGGGGTCTATTGTTTCAATAGTCTGATAAGCCAAGGGAAGGACACAGCTGTTCATTTAGACTATTTTCATTCCTCCCAGGATGGTTACAAGGACAAAGTTGGGTAAGCTGGGACAGAGAAAGAATGGCCTGCAGATCTTAAAATATTTGATATTCATCCCTTTATAGAAAACATTTGCCAAAACTTTATCTAAAATCATATCAAACCACTAACTCACACTGCCCCCAAAATTCATGCTCAAGGCCACCTTGTTACCTGGTAAGGAACTTCACTGATCATCTTTCTGCCTGCCATTATCAATGTATTTAACAGTGATTTTTCTAAAATGCCTGTCCTGTGCTGAATATTTGTCATTTTGGGAGGCTGTGGAGGATATTAAAACTAAATGAGACAACATCCTTTCTCTCAAGGAGTTAGAAGTTGAACAGGGTATTTGTTGCAGAAATACAGTAAGAGCATTACAGGTTTGAAATCTGGGGCTGAGAGTATAGCTCAGTGGTAGAGCACTTGTCACCTAGCATGAGAGAGGACATGAGTTTTATCTACAGCAACACACACATGCACTCATACATGTGAAAGCACACACACACAAACAAATGAAACACACACACACACACACACATTCTATAAAGCCTTACAGAGACACAGAAAAACAAACAAACAAACAAAACCACCTTGTGGTTTAGATGTGATCCTTCCTGGCAGCTGGCAATGGGACATTTCAGCTTGGGAGAAACAAAAGGAAGCCAGACCTGTTAGAAGAAACAACTGTAGAGTAAACAAAGACAAGGAAGCAGGAGACGCTTGGGCATGTGTGTGGGACATGTGGCTGCTGTTAAAGGTTGATTAGAAACCACAATGAAGGACCAGATGGAAAGAGAGTAGAGAAAACATGAAGATGGGACAGCAGGGATAAGAGGAGAGTGTGGTCATACTAAGGTGTCTGTAGAAGTTGATCAGATACCAAAGGCCAGATGTGGTGGCAATACCTACCAGAGGGTCACAGTTATGGCTGCACCAAACTTTCAACTGAAACCACTAAAAATGAGAAACAAAAGAATCCCCCTTCTGTTCCTTCCTTCCTCTCTCCCTCCCTTTCTCTCTCCCTCTCTCCCTCTCTCCCTCTCCTCTCCTCTCTCTTTTTTCCTCTCTAAGGATTTATTTGTTTATATGTACATGCACATGCTCGAGCACGCGCACACACACACAAGAGGGCCCAGGGTCCCTCTCTATCACTTCAGGAGCTCCTCACCCCAGCATGCACCAGCCATGGTCCCATCTCTGCTGAGTTACAGGTGTGCATGGGAAGCCCAGTTTGTTTTTGTGGATGCTGGGACTGGAACTCTTGTCTTCATGATTGTGAAGCAAGTGCTCTCTATTGCTGAGCCATTTCTCCATCCCTTTTTCATTTTTAATTGTCTCATCATTTCCAGAGTGAAAAGGCTTTGATGGGCCGTGCCCCATCCCCTCCACACCCTGCACAGAGCATGCAGGCAGAGCTTTGAGAACTGGCAAGCCCATCATAGGATGTGGTCATCCAATCTCCAGTGAGACAGCTCCAGTCTTGGGCAGAATGCCTCTTGGGGACAGTCATCTCTGCCTTCTCCCAGGACTGGTGCCTGTGACAAGTGGTGGTTATTTTGATACACAAAGCAGGTACAAGCCTTAAGGTTGGGTGAGCAAGACATGGAAGCTATTTTTAAACGTCTGTAACTGGATTTACCTAATTTCAAGCTTCATCTTTTACCTAATTGCAGAAAACCTCACCTAGACCAACTTCAGGTGAACCAAATTATTTCCCATTTCTTTTGCCGGTTCAGATCTCCTCTGCCCTCTATCTGTCATTGTCTCCTTTCCCATTGGCATTTCTGTTACTACTGCCACCGGTCTTCAGTAGTCATCCCCACAGTCTGCATTTTTCTTTATGGGCCCCTGTGCCCAGTGCTCCCTTTATGGCTAGTCCATGCTCCTCCTGTAAGATTCGAAGTCTTTCAAGTTCTGAAAGCCTGCTTTAAGGGGTAATTATAAGGAAGGAAGTCTCCAGGTTATTATACCAAGATGGTAGGGTAGGCAAGATGGCTCAGAGTGCAGCACACTTACAGAGCAACGCTGACAACCTGAGTTCGATCCCCAGAGCTCAGGTAAAGGGGAAAGGAGAGAACCAACAGAACCAGCCCCTCCCCATCTCCTAACACTAGTGATGATGATGATAATGATGATGGTGATGACGACACCATAACCACCACTACAGAACACACAGGTGAGACAAATTCTACTTTTCAGGAGCTTCTCAGGAGAAAACTCAATAATTGTCCAAACAAATATGACCTTAAGCAAATGGTCATATTTAATAGTTTATGTGTTCAGAGCAGTCCTTCCAGGGTAGGAATATGAAGTGTCAGGGTGTCCTACTAGTTTGAGCCTCTGCAAACACTATATTTCTACTTCTCCATTCTTTGCTATAAAAAGACCAATCTAGCTGTCTATGCTCCAGGCTCTGAACATTAGATCTTTATTCAGGGGCTGCTTGGTAAACTCCAGGGTCACACAAGCTTCTCTGTCTGCAGGACACAGTGGAGAGGAGTCTGTCTCAACCACGCTTTAAGCCGACTCACTTCCTTTTCAGGCCCATCTTGATCATCCATAGCTCAGTAGTAGATAATCTTCCTTGTCAACATGACTGAATTCAAAAGTAGCCATGGAAACACATGTCTGGGGGTAACTAGGGGTGGTGTTTCCAGAGAAGTATATCTAGTGGGTGGCACTATTCCCTAGGCTGGGGTCCTAGCTTGAATAGAGAGGGCAAAGTTAGCTAAGCAGCTGTACTCATCTTCCTCGGCTTCCTGACTGTGGCTGTAATACCATCAGTCATCCCACCCCCCTGACACCATGTCTTCCTCTCGTTGATCGATTTTATATGGGAGTCAGACTAGGCCCTCCCTTCCTTAAGCTGTTTTTCTCAGATGTTTAGTCACAGGTATGAGAAAAGTACTGGATACGCCAGGCAAACAGTGTTTGATACTAAACCCTGCCAATGCCTGATGACTTTCCCAGACTTGCCGATCCTAGATGCACTCATCATGCCATTGCTTCCCTAGAAACTCTGAGTTTGTACAGCTGCCCCCCAGACTCAGGTTCGTGTTTGTCTTGACTTTAAGAATATGCAACCTCTGGCTCAGCCTACTTTCTCAGGCAACTTCTTCCCAGTACCTAAGACACACCTCTCTCCTTGCACCAAAATCCTACAGATCCTTGGGAATCTGGCTTACACTTGACCTTCCTTGATCTATGAGGTGTGACTGGCACTTTGATTCCTATTCAGTGATGACTGGAGTTCATATCCCTGGATGGTGACACCTTAATGACAGGAGCAGTGTCAATCATCTTGTACCTAGTTCCTTAGAACCAGAAGGTCATGGCACCTATAACGATTATTCTTATGAGCCAATGGGGCTAAGAGAGAGGGCCCAGTCCAGCTGGTCAAACGTTGACCTATTTTCTTCTAAGGTATTTGGTAGATGTGATCACTGCTGACAATTAATTGATTTCAGGTTGTGGGTAGTGGAGGAAACCTTAAGCATTCGAAGTCCTGAGTGGATGTATATTGTTGGCATAAATATGACTATGTCAAGGACTAAAGCCTCAGATCCTTGGGTAAACGGCAAAGCCTTCCCTCCTGGTCCACGTGTAAATGCTGATAAAATGTGTAGAAAATGTCCACCACAGCTTTCTCCCCCACCCTCTGCAGCTGGGTGTTTATGGTCTGAATAACAGAGCCTACTCCTGAGATGAGCTAAACTTTTTTCCTAGTTCAGCTGGATATAATAACCTTGGCTCCTGGTTTATCTGCATGTAATAACCTCTCCTCTGTGTTCAGTTGTATGAAATAACCCTGTCTCCTTACTTAACTGGATTTAATAAAATGCTAAGCTTCCAGGGTGTTGTGGCTTCTCCATCAGAGAGACCAGTCCACCCAATCCCAGGTCTTTTGTGTGTCTATGTACGTGGACATACATACACATTTGTCCAAGTGTAAAGGCATGTTTGCATGTGTTTAGACACATGTGGGGAGTACACACATGTATGTAGAGGCTCAAGATTGATATTGGGAATAATCCTTGTCTCAGTTTGGGTTTCTATTGCTGCGAAGAGACACCATGACCATGGCAACTCTTCATTTAATTGGAGCTGGTTACAGTTTCAGAGGTTTAGTCCATTATCTTCTTGGCAGGAAGCCTGGTAGCACACAGGCAGACATGGTGCTGGAGAAGGAGCCAAGAGTTCAACATGTAGAGTGTCAGGCAGCAGGAAGACAGAGAGACAGTAGGCCTGGAGTGATCATCTGAAACCTCAAGGGCCATCCACAGCCACACACTTCCTTCAAAAGGGCCACACCTCCAAATATAGTGCTACTCACTATGAGAGCCGTTTTCATTCAAATCATCACAATTCTTGAATGCTGTTCTATTTTATTCATTATATCAAACTCAGAGCTCACTGATATGACTAATCTCACTAGCTAGCTCGCTGTGGGGAATCCCCTGTCTTAGTCTTCCAGAGCTGGAGTTGCTACTGGACGGGTACTATGCCTATTCCACATTTACATGAGTTCTGGAGATACAATGTTCTTTCCTTGCACTTGTTTGACAACTGCTCTAGCCAATGAGCCATCTCCTTGTGTGGGACCTCTTGCTTCTGTCACTCCAGAGAATCCCAACAAATAAAGCCCCTCAGACTTGTGAATGAGATTGAGCCTGCCACTCAGGAGTGCCACCAGGCTGTGACATGCTCCAATGGTCATTGGCCATACCAAGCACCAGGGATAGAACCTGAACTTTGGGAGTGTTATATTTGAATGTGAAAATCCCTTCCCAAAAGCCTATTGTCTTGGTCCCAGTCAGAAGTCCAATTTTTGAAAATACTACAAACTTCAGAAGGTGGGGCCAAGCTGGAGGAAGATCTTGAATGACCCATTTGTTAAAGATTATCTGTTCCTGCTCTCCAGTCTCTCCCCTTTCCTGTTTCCTCCTCCTGGAGGTGAGTAGCTACTGACACATGTCTCCACTGCCATAGCACCTTGCTTCCATGTGTTTCTGAATGCAAACTGACAAAGAACATGATTAAAATGTCAGTTCCAAAAGTAATGTTGTTGGCAGAAGTTTCTGTCCTACCAGCAGCTCCCAAATCAACACACTGAGGATTATATTAATTACAAAAGCTTGGCCAATAATTAAGGCTTGTTGCTAGCTAACTCTTCCACTTAAGTTAATCCATATTTCTTATCTATCCTCTGCCACACGGCTCATGGCTTGTTTCCTCTGCATCTGTTGGCATTTCCTCTGACTCTGCCCTTCTTCATCCCAGCATCTTTAGTTTGGTTGTCCTGCCTGGCTACCAGCCGATCAGCTTTTTATAAACAACGAGAGCAACACATTTTCACAGCACGGGGTTATTCCACAGCATAATACTTCTCTTTAAGGTGTTCTGTTAGGTATTATGTCACAGCCACAAAAGGTCTGACAAACCCAGAGAGAGGACAAGTTTTGTTGCAAGCAAGCAAGGGAAATTCACTCAAACCAGGCAAGTGAAAGGACATTTGTCAAATGAGATGCTCCCAGGACCCATGGGCCAGACGTGCAGCAGTTTCTCACAAAACTCAAACTTTACACAAATGGGTCACAGACCCATTCACAGAGGAAGAAAGGCCAGACCCTTTCTTCCTCTCCATCTTCTTGCAGGAACACATATTCATCTTTTCTTTTGGCAAATCCCTTGTACCCTTGAAGACTCAGTTGTATTGCCCAGTCACGGACCATTCTGCCTTCAGAACTCTCAACTCTCTGGTTCTTTACAAACCTTGAGAACAGAGATCTGGATGCTGTGAGCCTGCCAACCTCCCCTGGTCAAGGAAGGACAGGGGGACAAGGAGAAAGTGACTTAGATATGATTCTCTCAGCACAGCCTCTTTAGTAGAGGATGAAGGAGACCAGCCCCACTCACAGAGCCCTCCAAGCATCCACCTACTGTGTATGTGGTATCCTGCCCTAATCAGTCCAGGCTGCCACAAAAACCAAGTACTCAGAGGTCTGGAAGTCTGAGACTGCGGTCTTAGAAGGTTGGCTTTTCTCCAACCTCTTTCTTGGCTGGCAGGCAGCCACCCCTGGCCTTCCTGTTGTGTGTCTGACCTTCTTACCCTTCCTTTCAGTAGGAGTATGTTACTCTTCCTCTCAGGACGCGGCACTGTACCTTCCCCCACGTGACCCATTTGTGTAAAGTCCACTTCTTTAGTGCCTTCAAACTCCTAATTCCTCACATTCTGAGGTCCTAGTGGTTAGAACACATGCCCTTTCAGGGAGAAACATCTCCATAGATTTTTTTTTTCACAAAAACATTTCTCTTGACAGAGATACCTAATAATTCTATTTAGTTAAGCTTTCTCTCAGAGCAAGTAGCATACATTTGTAAGCCCAGTCTCCGGGAGGCTGAGGCAGAGGAATATTGAATCCAAGGACAACCCGAGCTCCATGGTAAGATAAGGCTCTGCCTCAAAAGCTATTTTCCTATCCAAGTGAGGACAATGCTGTCTCTTCACAGACATGAGAAGGCTGACGAGGGCCATGAGTATAGGGCATACATCACAGCTGCTTTGATAATTGTTTTCTCTCCTAGGTGGACAGAGTGCCACTGACTGTGCTTCAGAGCCATCCTCAATTTGTGCGCAGTGGCTTTCCTGCTGCCTGGCCCTTCGCTCTCTTAGGTCAATCACCATCGCTGCACATTCACACCTTGCATGGAGTAGAGAGGGGGTTTTAACCATCAATTTTATTATCCAGTTATGTTAATGGTCCGTGAAATAACATGTGAAGAAGCCCATTAAACACTGTGAAAGTTTCCACTTCTTACAAATGAGGGAAGAATAAGAAGAAAGGCCAGCATAACTCAGTGCTGAGGAGAGAGCTTGACCTTCATCTTCAGACGTCCTTCCGGGAGACACAGCTTAGAATACTCAGAATTCTGCATTTCAGGATTTGGGTATGATGCGTGCTTAGGCATTAGCAAGCAGCTCAGGAGTCACATTTAATATCTTGTAGTTGAGATGAGTTTCAAATCCAAATGTTAACTTATTTTTCTTTCATCAAACTGTGTTCTGGTTTCTGACACATACTTCACTGAACATAGCCTGCTAGCCTCATGTACAACCTGATTAGAAAAGGTCAAAGTATAAATCCATAAACAGCTTCCACCTCGATCCTTCTCCTGGCCTGAACCTAACAGCAACCTGCCCTGAGCTCTCAGGGACCCAGGGCTGCAATGGATTCTCAGCTATGCCTGTGAATGAGTCTTTGCTGGCCGACTATTCATTTCTGCAAACTGTTACACAACAGACTTGCAGATCCCTCTGTCCGTGCAGCTGCCACAGACTCCTGGATATTCACCTCATGGCCCACCACTTCCGAAAATGTTGTAGCTTCTCTTCTTCTCTGTGACCCCAAGACTTAGGCTAGGATTTCTAGTCTTCCTCCCTCGGTGGCCACTTTCTTGGCTCTTTCATCCAATCTCAAGGATGTTCACCTGAGAAACATATACAGGCATATAATGCATGTATATAAACTACTAGTAACAAACATTTACTGATGGTAAGCTATAAAACATTTATTTTAAATCAATTGTTTGTGTACATATAGTTATTAGTAGTAGTAAAGACAAAAGCAAGTTTGGACACTAATGGGATAAATGTGCTTGTTCGTTCCTACTTAAAGATTTAAATCTGGACCAAATATTTGATGCTGCAGGACATACAGCATCTTCAACATTTTCCAAAGTTGATTGACATTTTAATTTTATACTCATCCATGATGAGCACGCCACTTTGCATAAATAACTTAGTGCAGAATGGTTTAGGGCCCTTTCAGAAGTTGTTGGAAATTCTGTCCTAATCCCTAATTAAAATTCATTTAATGTTTTTTTTCCTTGTATGAAACTCAAGTCAGCAATCCAAACAGTAAATTTTAAAGACAAGCATCTTCACACAGTACAGCCCAAAGATACACTGATTTGAAACCCAACCTGCTAAGGAATTATGGTTGAGGAGCTTGTAAAGCCTTTGTTTTTTATAATTAGACCATCGTGTTTCTACAAAAACAGAAAACTTGTATGCACAGCAAAAAACCCTGCCATTCCTAACATCAGTCTCAGAATCTGATCTGGGGCACCTCAGGCACTACTCTGTGGTACCATGAGGCCTCACTCTGAACAAAGTGAGCAGGCCGTTGAGAACCAAGAGTGTAGAGAAGTCACACGATGCAACACGGGTGAAAGCTGCGAGGGTTACATGGGGCACATTATAGGCATTATTTAATCCATCACTTATTAAAGCTTTTGAAGTAACTGTCATTGTAGAATTCTTTCTGTTGATGAGAAAATAGAGGCTGTGGTATCACTGTATCATAGCAATCTGGCTATGAGAAGACAGAGACTTTGAACACAGTTGAGCATAACCCCAAAGCCACAGACATTCTCTATTCTCTACTGAGCAAGCCCAGAAGATGGAGTTCTGGAATAGAATTTGCCATTTGACTCAACTTCCTGGGCTCCAGTTTCCTCGTGAAACAATTAGAAGCTTCAGTTAGGTATTCTCTATGCCATTCTAGTTATCACCCTCTGGCACAAAGGCACTGAATGGAAAATCCGAAGTCATTGCCTTTTCCTTAGACAGAAGCCAAGGGTGAGAATGGGTGAGGGCTGAGAGCCTTTGGGTTGTGCAAGCTGATCAAATCATGCACAGCACTGTGGAGAGCGGGGCAACACACCTTTCAGACTTTTCAGTTCATGGAGAAATGGACATCACACAAACACAGAAAGGGCCATCTTTAGCCATTGCCAAGTTGGTGGTTGTAGTGGTGGTATCTTGTTTAACCAGTAGACTTGCAGTGGCGGCAGCATCTGAAGGTGGGGTTTAAAAGAGTCCACAAGATCCAAGAGAAATGATAAACAGGTATTCATTAGGGAAGTACTTACACAATTAATAGTAAATAACCTCCACGGTCTTCCTGCTCCTGAAGATGCCCTTCCTGAGTTCCCACTACTGCCCCAGATAGTGAGACAACCCCTCCTCTTCCTTATAAGGGGTCACGTCTGCACACCTGAAGCCACGCCCTTAGGATGCGGCTACCACTGCAAGTCTACTGGCGAAACAAGATGCCACTACAGGTGGTGATATCCCTCTTGAGTTTATCATACAGCCTCCTCCATTCTCCTAACTGCTAAAGAGTAGATGTCTGCAGAAATGGGCCATGGGAACAGGAAGTTTATTGGCATAAGAACACTAATGCGTCTATCTCCAGTAAATGCTATTAGCATCTCTGCCCTCTGTTCCAGAGTAGCTGGAAGTTCTCTTCCTGGGATCATCAACTTCTTTGTCTGAAAGCCAAAGATATTCCACCAAAGTTAACCAAAGCAAAAAAAGGAAAATACAGGTCCAGAGCCACTGAATTGCAAGGAACAGAAGTGGACTTGGCCCCAGAATTCCCGTGTACCCATGTCATTTTTCCCAAAGAAGGGGGGTGTTGCTGTCAGCAGCTCCAGACTTACTTCCCTGAAGCTTTGGGAGTCTCTAGACAAAACCACAGTAGTTTAGAAAGTCAGACATAGTGTGGGGGTGGAACACTAGCTAGCATGTTCAAGGTCCTGGGCTTCATCCCCAGCACTACAAAGAAAAAGCAAAACCAAAAACAATTATGTGAATAATGTGATTTAAAAATCACAATTGCTTTAATTTTTATGCTAGAATTAAGCACCTTACCAACTGTTTTCTCTGCTCCTGATTTCTTACGGGGTCAGATAAGCAGCTTTATTTCAACTTAGCCTGAGGGATGTATGTCATTTTGAAGTTAGCCTGGGCTGTTGTGGGTACTGTGCAAACATTTACTATAAAACAATGTCCTCCTTTAATGTCGATTTAATGGGAAAATAAAATAGGCAGGTTTAATCAGCCTAGGTTGCAAAATCTGAAACCAAGAGAGACTGATTGGCCTCACATAGTTGGCATACCTGTGTTCAAGCAACATGAAGGCCAATTACGGGAAAGCTCTTACCTTCTAGCCAAAGGAATGGGAGCAAACTCTGGTGGCAGACATGCCATTGTCTCCTTTTAAAGAGCTAATTGAGTTGAGCAAGCCAATCACCTGGCCAAAGGACCATCCATCAGGAAGACAGGTTCACCTTCAGCCAAGCTAAGGAGATAGAATGAATAATTAGCCCTTGAATGAGATTCTGTACTTTTCCTTCCCAGAATTCCCACTATCTAGGACAGTCCCTTGTAACGCAAAGAATAAAAACCCAGAGAGAGATATTGGGGTTCAAACTGAAGATCAGAGAAGCAAAGTAGCCCTCCACTAGAGAGTTCTCCCCTCTACCAATGCTCAAACTGAAGGGGCCATCCACTGGACCTCAGCTTGTATTTCCAGACTTCACTGCTCTCCACCAAGCCTCAGAATCCTAGACTGCAATGCTCTCCTCAATGGGGCTGGAGACTAATTGCCACATGAGACCCTTGGCTTCTTCCTCACATACCTCTCTAGTGTAAGGAGCTATTTTGGTGGGGAGGTCTATTTTTTGGATGCTGGCCAAAGCCTAGGCATGCTTCTGTTTCCTCTGGTACCACCGGGCCCTGCCACTGTCTGCTGGGGCAGGTTTTTCAGCCTGTGGCTGGTTCACCTGGCATGGATTATTTCCTCCTTCTTCTCCTCCAGGTAGCTGCCAAGGTTTGCAGCTTGCCTGCCCTTGAGCACTTCTCTTAAATGCTAAGAAAATTGTCCTCGAGCTCCTGTTTGAGTCCATTCTTAAATTCTTTCCATAGTGAGATGGGTTCCCGAAAAGACAGCTGGATTTCCCTTGTATCATATAGTGACCCTGGTAGACCTGCCAACATTTCTGGTAACACCAGTTTCTAAGCACTGGTGGTGGCCCAGGAAGGCTTTTGTTTCCTCCCTGGTTTCCTTGGGTCTTTATTCAAATGTCCACTTCTCAGTGAGGCTTCTCTGGCCATCACTAAGCTCAAAACCTTTCCTCTCCAGTTAATCCCCACCCTCTCTTATCCTAACAGTACTTGCCTCCAAATATGGAATTATTTACCAATTTAAGTTTCTCATCCATTTCTATATTATATGTGCCATGCCACAGGGTTATTGTATGTCTTGTTTAGTAATATACTCGGGTGTCTATAGTTGGCATACAGGGCCCAAGAACTATTTGCTACCAAATGAATAAATGAATAGCTTGACTCTTGCCCCCCCCCCACTCGAATGTGGTTCCCCCTGTAGCAGAGATTTTGACTGTAGTTTATTTTTGTTGGTGGTGGTAGTAGTTTGTTTTTAGGGAAACAAGTAAATTCCAGTCCAGACACTCTGGATTGAATGCTTGTTGACTTGATTAATCGACGGGTCTCTATGGCCATGTTGGTGGCCCAGTCATAGCCCTCTGTCGCCATGGCTACAGTGATTCATTGATTTGCTTCCCCAAAGTGGAGTTTGCCTGCTGTGCTTCCCTAACCTGGACTGAAGTAGATATGAATGTAAGATTCTAATATCATAGAAGGCAGAATGTGATACTCTACTTTCCTCGATGTACATAAAATATTTTGACAAAAACCAACTACAGGAGGAAGGGGTTGTTTCAGCTCACACCTTCCAGGTCACAGTCCATCACTGAGGGAAGTCAAGGCAGGAACAGAAACCAGGAACCATGAGAAAATGCTGTTTTATGATTCACTCACAGGCTCATGCTTTCTTTTATAGCCCAGGACCACCCACCTAGGCATGGTGCCGCCCACAGTAAACCAGGCCCTCCAATATCAACTCATAATCAATACAGTAGTCCACAGACAGGTCCACAGGCCAATCTGATCTGGCTGATCCCTCGACTGAGACTTCGAAGGTGACTCTAGGCTGGGTCAGATTAGCAGTTACAGTTAATTAGGACATCTGGGTACAAAGCAACACTACATGGCTGCTGCCCAAAGGTAGACACCACCCTAATACAGTGTGAATGAATGCAATGGAGTTGTGAACATGACATAAAACACCAGGCTTTAAAGTCATTCTCCCATCTTATGGGTACCACCTATGCTCTGCCAGCATCCTTTGAACTTTTCTTGGTTTGTACTTTAAGGAAAACGCAAGTTTCAGTTAATGAGCACTATTAGAGCTCTTTCTAGATTTCTCTGAGTATGTACTTGCCTTCGTGTCTTCCATTAGAGACAGCACAGTTGCTTTCAATTTTCCTTTGCTCAACCTCCATATGTACACCCTCTATTACACACCAAACCTTTGCTCTTCCCTCACTCTGAACGCCCTGGTTACCATAGAGATGATCACGTATAACTCAGTTAATTGTGTAAACACCGTATATCTCTGTCGCTCTTAATCGTACCAGTAGGCAGCTTCCCGTCCCCCTTTTTGCATGGGAAGTTTTGATCTTACCATAGGTGAATCTGCAGCACAGTGTTTAAAGAGCCAGATGCCAGATGTTTCAACGATGAAATTACAGTCCCTTTGATGAATTAACTGCCCTCCTCCTAATCTAATAGCCAATTAATTCAGAGGTACAAGAGACCATCATTAATAAGCTGGAGCCCGAGTTCACAAGATCAGAGTTTCAATTTCAGTTCAATTATCAGAAACTTGGGGCCACCTTTTCATAGCTTAAATAATAACAACAACAACAAAAACCAAACAGGTTTTTGTGTTTGTTTTTATCAAAAAGTGTTTCTTAGTAACCAAATCTAAAGACTATTACTTGTCTTCCTCTATAACATTGTTACAATAGTCAAAAACCCCCAGAACATTTTCTGTTCCTATTTTTCTCGAATAAATCACCTTTAAAAATACAAATCTTTAGAACATATTCTTACTAAGAATTATTTCACTTTATCTGAAATTCAGATTTCACTGGACATTCCGTATTTTTATTTGTAAGTCTGGCGGTTGGGTCATATAGGAGCTATAATTGACCAAATACTTGCTGAGCCCTTCGAATTCATCCTAATTGCCAGGGAAATGAAGCAGTGTCTGTTGAGAGAACAGGAGAAAGTGTCACGTAGAAACCAATGAGTTTGATGAGGGATGAACTGAGGTCTTGTGTGCTGGATCCTTAGCACACTTCAGGATCCCTGAAACACGGAGCCATGGAAGCCCTTTATCCAGTTGCACACAGGATGGAAGGAAGAAAGCAGGCTATGGTCTTAAAACCTTGTCGACAAGTGGTCTTTGTTTTCAGGAGAGGACTGGGTTTTGATGCTTTACTCCCGCCCTGTGGGTGGGTGACATCCTGCGGAGTTCTTATTCTCCTGCTTCCTTTTAGCTTTGACTCAGAACCAAGTTCTAGTTTTTGCTCCAACTCAGAGGGTGGGCTTGCAAGTTCGTGAAACTCCCTGGCTCGGGACCTCCTTTTATAGTCCCCACCTAAAAATGAAAGTAGCGCTGACTCTGATAAGTTTGGATTGCTGTTGTTCCCAGATGGTGGTGGCATACAATGATACTGTAGGGTAGCCTGTGCAAACATCACATGCCCTTAGCATACCCATTGCTGCTATGGTCCCCTGCGAATTCCACAGGTTGTTCAGTCTCCAGTGCAACAGGAAAGGTGGCTTGGGTGCGTCTGAGGATGAGGATGAACCACCTAACAGGGCACAAAGCCTTCTCCTCTTTGAAATTTGAATCTTCCAAGAAGTGCCAACAGGTTTGGGTCTAATGGAGGAGAGAGAGCATGGATCACAGGAATGGCAACTGACTCTGGGATTGCCCTGGGGGGAATAGCCTGGGACCAACAGCTGCCATCCCAAGAAAAGCCTGTCTACAAAGGCACCAAACGGCACCTCAGTAGGGTGTGTTGAAATAATTACAGTCCCTGCAGTGAAAGCAGATCATGTTTCAAATCACTGTCCCATCCAGAGGCCAGGAAACAACAGACTGTTGGGAAATCATAAAAATGAGACAAGACGTGTAGTCGCCTATTACACCTGAAAAGAGAAGAAGGGCTGGGGGAGGATTGTTCTTGCCTCCAAGTTTTATAGAATAAATATTTGAGAGGAGGCCAAGATATGTTCTGGCTGATGCCTGAATTCAGAGGTCTCCTGTCCTCATCCTGAGGGGCAAATGGCCTTCTGGGAGCTGGCTGGGGTACCATTGAGAACGGAGATGAGGGCCAGCACACAGCTCTCTGCTTCTGCCGAATCCACCTGTATTTATTTCCTCTGTCATTACCTGTCTTGCCAGATGAAAACTGAGAGAGAACAAATTTGCCTAGTAGCACATGATGCCTGAAAACTGCTGCTTTTTTTTTTTTTCAATTTAAAACAAGAAATAACTTCTATGGCTCCCCCTTGAAACAAACAAAACAACATCTAAGGGCTGGGGGTAGAGCTTATGAAAAATTACTTGCTTGATTTTATTTATGCATGGTTCCATTTTTTGAACCTATAACCCTAAGTAAAATCAGTATACACTAAGCTAGATAGATACATGTGTGTGGGAAGGAACATGCATAAATATGTAATTTTTTTTTCTTTGAGAGGGTTACATGCACTTCAAAAGCATTGACTTCAAAGGGCACAGTCAAGAGAAGAAAACCTGTGGAATGAGAGAAAACTTTGAGGAACCATGTAAGAGATTAATACCTCCAATTCACACAGAATTCCTTCAACTCAACATGATTGAAAGGCAGAAAGTAGGCAAAGAAAGGATTTAGACATTCTCCAAAGAAGATTCGAAATGGCCAGAAAACACCTTTTTTTTAATAAAAAATATATATTTACTGTCACTAAGCATTGGGGAAATTCAAGTGAAATCCACAATGAAATACCATCTCATAGCCATTAGGATGCTGCTCGAGTTTCCTTTTTGTTAGCGTAGTAAAAATGTCCTGACTAAAAAGCAACAGAGGGGAGGAAGGGCTTATTCAGCTTACAATTCCAGGTCACAGTCTATCCTTTTCAGAAAATCAAGGAAGCAGCTAGTCACATCCACAACCAAGAGCAGAGAGACATGAACACACAGGTGCTGCCTGAATTCTTGCTGCTTAACTCCATTTCTCTATTCTTGTGCATGGCAGGCCTCCTGCCTAGAAGATGGTGTCACCCACACCAATTACCAATCAAGACACTGGACTAGCTTGATAAAGACTGTCTTCCCAGCTGAGTCTAAGTCTCGGCAAGCTAGCATTTAAAGTGATCACAGATGACAACTATTACAAACAGCCAAGCACCGGCTCACTATTCCAATGAGTAGAAAATCTGAACAATATAGTCCTGGTGTCTGGCAAGGGTGCCTAGGCTGTTGTCATGACATGTTGATAAGTAGGCACATGAAGGAAAGAGTGTGTGTAAGACAGGACCAAAAAAGCACAGTTCATTCCTGAGAGGGAGCATGGATCTATGAGAAACTATGCCTTGTTGAATTCCACTGGTCTCTATTCTTAAAAAAATCTGCTACCTAACAATACTTTATACTGGGAACCAAGCTTCCAGAGCATGTACATTTGGAAGGTAACCAAAGCAATTAATAACCACCTGAATAACTGGTAGCCATGGAGACAGACCTTACAGCCCTCAGAAAACCTCTAGATAATGTCGACTCTACCCTACAGCATCTTGTCCTCAGCCTCACGAGAGATGCTGACAGAAGCACCAACCAGATTCTGAACCCTCAGAAATAGCACACAATGATAACAAGGGTTTATTGCTATAAGCTGTTAAATGTGGGGATAATTTGCTGCAGTGGGTAACAAACACATTCTCTTGACATTTGGTTCAATTTATAACCTGACCCAGGGTAGGTGCTTAACCAGCCTGGCTGAAAAGCCATACTGTTTGCTAAACCCAGTCCGATTCTCTGTCAAATGAACTGTCACTTGCATCCCATAGTAAAGCCATGTAACTCTTCTTTAAATGCCTCAGCCTCCACAATTAGAGGGAGCAGCCCATTTACAGAAGGAACTGAATTGATCCCTTTTCTGGGAATAAATGCCCTTTTTTTTTTTCAAAGAATATCAAAATTCCCACAGTATTTTTCCATTTCAATGTCTTATTCCAGGAAGCACAGTTCCCTATATTTCTTTAAAGTAACTAATCAAATAACTTACTAGGAAAAAAAATCCCATTTTTCTTAGGAAAATCTGTGCTAAGCATCTCTTAGATGGAAGAGTATTAGTCTTATCCAGGCTCTGCATGAAATACTTCAAATCTCGTTACTCTAAAACTACAGAATAAAAGTCTCAGACTATTTAATGCCTTGAGTGCGAGGAACAGTGGATTTTGACTACATTTTAAAATGTATTAAACTTAAAATGCATTAAAATTTAAAATATGCCACTGGGCTAGAAATTGATGTTAAGTTATATATGTTTAAGTCCATGTTGATTAAAAATGCCTGTATGTGGCTGGAGAGATGACTCGGCCATTAAAGGCTAGGCTCACAACCAAAAAAATGCCTGTATTATGTATGTACATCACATGTATGTGGTATCTATGGAGGTCAGAAGAGGGCATCAGATCCCCTGGAATTGGAGTTGCAGGCTGTCACGTGCATTAGGAAAACTGAACCCAGGCCCTCTGCAAGAGCAATAAGTGCTCTTAACTGTTGAGCCAGCTCTCTCTGTCTTGAATCTGTTATAACATCCTTTGACATCACTAGAGACCTGTGGTGTTTGTTCATTTGGTATTTGCTCTCAAATTATACATTCAACACAGACAGAAAGAATTCAAATCAAGACATTAATGTTTTCATTTAGGGGACACTTCATTTACTGGGTCCCTTCGCTGGGGGCCATTTTCCTTTGTGTAGCTCCGCTTATTGTCTAAGGAAGGTTTTGGCCTACTGGGGCCTTGAACTAACTGCCTAAAAGTTGAGTACATACCCACGGAGCACCAGTACACACATCATTTGCTCATGGAATGGTGCCACCCACACTTGAGGTGGGTCCTTTTCCTTCCGCTAATCTCCCCTGGAAATCCCCTCTTAGACATGGCCAACGCTAGGCCTCCTCGGTGATTCTAGAGCAACTAGGATGACAACGAAGATCAACAAACCATCCCATGAGTGGTTACCTAATCACCCCTTATGAGCCCTATGACTCAACACCATGCATTGTGGGTTTAGTTGCAACACACACACAATGGAGAACACAGTCTAATAATAACTGGCTGCCTTTGCTTTCTCTTCACGGTTAGGAGTGAGGCTCAGGCCCTCATGAGATGCCCCAGATCACCCAGTCAACAGGTACAGGGAGCAGGATTTGCACTTAAGACACCAAAGCTGCCTCAAAGACCAAGTGCTCCCTGGGGCTTCCTGAAGTTTCTCCTGGGGTCACATTTACTGCTAGGGAAGCCTTGGCACATTCTCTTCACCTGGGCTTCCAGAGGCTGAGTAACCCAACATCCTCTTCAGTGTTTTTGCTTGGCTCAACTTTGTAGTCCTTGTTTCATTTCCATGTCTACTTCCTGCCTTACTCCAGGAGGGCTTGCATGATGAGAGATGAAAACTATTCTCCTCTTCATCTGAGGGAGGTTGGTCCCCGAGAAAGCTAACATCTCAGTCTAGCCTGCCTCTCCATATTGACCTGCTTGTTTCTTCTACCTTCATGTTCCCACTTCCTACAATGGCTGAATGCATCTGTTTGTAGATGTCATCTAACTTCCACACAGACCACATACATACCCACACATACACCTCAGAGAAACACACATGTATCACACATATACACACACCACATATATACCCAATACCACCTCAGAGAAACACGCACACCTTACATACACATACACTTCAGAAAACATAAACACACACCTTACATACATTTATACTTCAGACAAACACATAAACAGGCCTTATATCACACACACACACACACACACACACACACACACACACACACACACACACCTCAGAAAAACACATAGATATCCACACCTCACATGATACACACAGCACAATATACCTTAAAGATACAAACACATATTACACACACACACACACACACACACACCCTTCACACACCATGTGGACTCATCCCTGATGCTTCCTCCACTAATCCATTCATGTTTCCTGATACGGGTACCTGAGTGAATTGGAGGATTCTCTAGAAATGCCTATGGCTCTCCATGCCATACTCCTTTTCTATTGTCTGGATCTGTCTTCCTTAGCAGAAGGTGAGCTCTCAGAGGTAAGTTAAAGCATCCAGTGCTCAATAGAATTTCAGCAGATGTTTCTAGAATGACTGGTTGAGTTCTGCTACTTTGGTAATGAAGAGTTCAATGAATTAGTCAACCAGAGTAGTTTACTGACTCCTGACTAATTAGGCCAAATGTTAGTTGTGATGAACTGATGCTTACCCACTCCCCACCAGCATGAGGTGAAGACAGCAGTTAGCTGGAGGAGTCAATGAGGTTTTATGAGCGTACTGTGTTACACAGACGATAGTGGGCAAACTCCACCGTTATAGCCATCACACAGCTCTGCTAGGAAAAGCCCACTCTGGTGCCTGGTGTAACCAGGCAAACGGTGATTTCTCTGCTTCCCAAGTTACTCTTGTATCTTAAACAAAAGAGTGACCCAGCACAGTGGTTCCAAGGACAGACTTCCAAAACAGTTGAACTAGCCAGGCATCTTCCCGCTGTCCCCAAGAGAAAGGAAACCTTGATAAACAGGTGTGCCTCCCAGATCAGAACCACAGAAATGTGGTTACTAGTGTT